TCTATGTATCCCTAATGAAGCCGAGGCGTCGATGAGCGTTTGTTCAGCGTAATTAAACGGTTTATACGCATGCGCCGGCCACGCCCAACCGCGCAGCCTCCGCACCAACCACCCCCGGCCTTTAATTACTGCCAAGACATTACCCCTTAATGCTATTATATAAGCTCCGTAGATTGTGTACCGTTATTCTGGAAATATTCCATTACATACGTCTAATTCTGTTTTCTCCGTTAGAAGAAAATGACAGCTTTTGTTATACAAAAGATATTGAATTTAATGTCATTATTACCTATTCTTAGGTATTTAGGGTTACGAGCTGAAATCGTGGCAGTGGTAGTTTCCTGAAACTTTTTATGTTGAGAAACCACTTGTGGCTATGTCTGTACGCTGATACCATAAAAAGTGTGAATATAAAACCTTATACAAGTATGTCGTAAAAATGATTTTCTTGATAGATATTTCGTTGGTAGATAAACCTTTGGCAACCTAAGATGGTAGCATGGAACATGGTGGGAGAACATGCATGATGACATGGAATGATAAGCATATATTGATATTTTTATCTTCAAAAACTTGAACTGCATGTCGCTTAGCTTGGGTTACGGTAACTTCAATCAAATGCTGACTAAGATGAGTTTTAACAGTCTTATCTTAAATGACCACGTTTGAAACTTCCATCACAGTTAACTAATAAATTAGTCTTGAGTAGAAATTTCAAACTATCTCAACCCCAGAACTCCTCATTTAGCCTATTCAGACGAAACCTTCTTATCCGTAATAACTAATACAAACTTAAACTTCAAACGAACGAATTTGTTAAGTTTATACAACGAAACGTTGTATAAACTTAACAAATTCCAATCCATTAACAAAATTTAAAAAAAGCTTCCATAGGTGCTACATGAGTGGAGTCAAATGTTCCCATTTTTTACTTGAGAGCGTTGTGAATACTGCTCACGTTCACAACCTCTCTCATTTTTCTCTACATTGGTTTTACGTGAATTATCTGCTATCTGTTACCTTCGTATTTGTTTAAGGAAGGAATTAAACAGAATTAGAAACTCTTTGAATTTAAATAATACTCCTTTCTATGCCGTGAATGGTGAATTTATTTCGTACAGCAGTATGTCTTTTTAAACAGTAAAAAAAAATCGTACATATGTTTTCTAAATAATATTTTCCATTTATCACTACGTGTAAAGAAGCTATTGTAAGTCCTTATAATATATTTAGAAGCTTCTAGACACTATTATTATGTAAAATATTCATCGCCTTACATAGAGGTCGTTGAAAAGCGGGCGTTGTCCTATCCAAATGTATTTTAATAAATCCTTTAAAGAATTGAACAAGGTCATAACATAGATAAATGTCAAAAACTATGCATACATAATAGGTACGTAAAGAGTGGCGTAGATACAAAGAGTTACGAAGCAGCACTGTCCAAACTCAATCTAAATTTCATTTTACGCCTCAAGTATCACGTACGAGCATATAGAATAGACTCCATCGTCCTTCGTAACTCGTAAGAACGTCCGCTGTCAAATTTTAATTTCTCCCTCAAATATTTACCGAAGGAAAAAGGATTCCCCGACGGGCCGCGCTCTAATAAGTTTTCCATAAGAGAGGTGGGCGGTGGGGAGAATGGGGTAAGAAGGCAAGGTTCTTATTGTGTTTGTAGAAGCTGGCGCATCCGGGCGCATACCTAACAAGATGGATATGTACTTGCCCACCCTACCCCTTTCGGACCGCCCCCTATGTAGATACGACAGCTCTCTGCGCTGCACCGAAATTGCATTGTCGAATACTAATTCCTTTTTCTATTTTCAAACCTTTTAAGAACTACTTTTTTAGGTTAAGCGAATTTTAAACTTTGCTACTTGTAAGTGTCTTGTTAAAAACTTTTTTGTTTGTCCTTCCTTCGTAATAAGCCATAAGCCAATGATATTTGATGAAGAAATAGTATTTATACTTGTAGACATAACATTAGATAACTCACCTATGTAGCATATCAACAAAATGAAACTGGTCTTTCAACTTTAGAAGAGATGACAAAGTTAAATCTATAAGTAAGTTCGTGAAACTTCTCAGGGAACACATTTACGAATGATAACAGAACATTCAAGTTAGAATCATGATTACAACACGATAAAATGGACCGTAAACTCCAAAAATGTTATTGCTAAAGGCACAATTCTATGACAAGTTGTTGACTGAGTCGCTACCGAGGACGTGAATTTTTTCTACAGTTTTTTTAAAGTATTTTTTCTAAGTACAGATCTAAATCTAAAGTATCTAGAAGCCACAAGCATTTCGATGGCACAAAATGAAGTGCAACACAAGAACAGAGATTTTATATCAAAATCTGTAACTTCACTTGCGTAAGTTAAAAAATTACAAACTATAAAATCAAAATTGTTCCTATTTCACCATAGAGAGCTCATAAGATAATAATCCAAGAAGAAGCGAGTGGGCTTTTTAAATGATCTTATAATACAGGTCATAAATGTTATTAATATTTGAATATAATAGCATGTTATAAATAAAATACAAACGATTTGAACACGCTCGAACATAAACCTTAGGCCTTGCATGTAGTCACTATTTCAAAACATTTGCTCTGTGAAATGTCTTCATACGAGTAAAGGATTTACAATTTAAATTGCAATTTCATGTGTGTTGTCAATAGATTTACTTATTTACATCTCTGAGTAAACATGGAGTATCGTATCAAAGTATCGCAGTCATTGTGAATGAGTATAGAAGGTAGGTTTGCATTAGATTATGTTAACAAAAATGATAAAATCCATCGTTTAGTAGATATTTATTTCGTTGTTGTTTCAGCAATCAAAACCAACATGTATAATCATTAAGCCTAATATATTTTCTCTTTTCTTCTAAATATACTTAATCTTATTTGCTCAAATCGAATCCATAATCAATTTTGATTTCACTAAAGGTTAAATTATCGCAATGACCGTCGCTCTACATAAGCACCCAAATACTCGTAGGTTTACGGACAAACTGTAAGCAATCTATAGGTACTAAGATTATTGAGTAAAGACTGTGTTCTCACAGTTTCTATTATTTGTGTAATTTAAAACGAAAAAGAATCGACAAGCTGGTAATAAAATATAAGATAGCTTATATTTTAAGGTCATAAAGATTTATAAAGCTGGTTTTGTAGATAGACTTACCATTGATAAAAGTGTGGTGACCTACGTAATTGCTTTACAAATAATTCATTGATTGATAAACTCATTCTTCTGTAAACTTCTTCTTCAGACTGCATCGTGACACACCATGTCCTGGCATGCATCACGATGCCAATAAACTGATGCGTGATATATACGCACACACATACGCTTCTGATGTTGTAACCTTCAGGTTGGCCTTATGCGTGTTTGCCGGCGTTTTTTTTAACTGAAACTCTCTTGGTGCTTCTATCGAACTCTCTTTCTATCAAAAAATCTATGTGTCACTCCGAGTTAATGTTAACGTATGTGTATGTTAAACAACATGTAAAATAATATAGGCTACTCCATATAATCTCGGTGTGAGTCTGGGGGTTTTCTTAGTAGAAACGTAAACCTAAGAACAAGGTCTCGATATAGCAATCTGTTGAAAATGAAATCGTATATTTACACTATCATTCCTCGCTCTGAAAGAAGTAAAAGCCAATACAAATACTCGTAAAATACTCTTCGAGCGCCAGATTGAAACGAGGCGCATCCACTCACGTTCCCAAGCCCTTGTCGCCACCAAATCGGTCCAATATAGCTTTTTCCCGTCGATTATTTCAAGCAGCCTTTAATGTTTTTATTTAACGCCTTCGGGTATTGAGTCGGTGTCGGCTTTCGTCACTCGGCCTAATTTATTGCAGGTCTGAGCGTTCGCACTGCGTGTTTTTGGCGCGACAAAAACCGCGGCTCCTGAGCAAACACCGCGCGACTTGCCCGCGCGTTTTTATTCGCATATCGCTTTAATTACGGCGTTTGGAACGCGCCATGTATGCAGGCTATTGTCAAGCTTCTTTGCGTCTATTTAGTACAAGCCATTTAATAATGTCTTAAATAATGTCACAACCTGTAGGTAAATAAATTTTATTACTCTTAATTATAAACGAGCCCTTGTGCACGTTAAAATACAATTTAGCAGACACTTAAAATCACTTAAACCACTATACTATACATACTAAATTCTATAAATCTAACAATCTGCTGACTGTATATCGTATAATTCGATTTCGTCGCTTGTATCAGGTCATAAAGCGTGTGGACACCGACATGTCCTGAAAATTATCCGAGCGGAGCCTCCCCGTTGACCGGGGACTTGAGAAAACATACATTTTTAACGCAGCCACCCTCCCTCCACCTTAGGGTGAGACGGGAGAAAATTACAAAAGAAAACAGCCTTAATTTCCAATGTCATCTCCGTTCCACCTAATCCTCTTATCGTTTTATATTTTGGCCTTTGAATTTTCATTTATTTTTGTTTGTTTAAGGAAAAGGTTCGCGGTGTGTTTTGTCTCGGGACGTTCTATTGATTTCAATTATTAGATATACTTTTGTTTTAATATTTATTACGTCACATTGGTGTTATTAATAAACAAGTGGCCTATAAATTCAGGTGCAAATTAAATTCCACACTAAAAACAACCAAAATAATTTTATGTTTCTGAAAGGCGTGTTTTCGATTACAACAATAAACTATTAAAAAGTGAATAATATTACTTCTACTAAGTGATATCTAAGTTTACATAAAAACAAAAGTGAATTTAAACTTAACATGTACAATGTAAACACAAAGACAAAATGCTGATAGTTGCACATTCCAGATCCGGGCCGTTCGATCGTTTTACTCTCTTATTGGTGGATGCAGATTGGAACAGACAATAGTACGTCAGTGGTCGATGTCGCATTAATCAGTTGTAGTGCAACCATAATTCAATCAGTGGTAGGCACCGGCCGCCGCGGTCACCGCCTGTTTTATGTATGTGTAGAATGACCAATGTGTCAGATGTGGGAAACTTACGTGGATGTGCCGGTACAAGTACCTGCGCTAGATGCAACTACAGTGTCTATGTCCAAGAGTTGAACTCGTGCCAGGACTTAAGTGAGGTACTATTGTTAAACTATATCATACAATACTAAGCTTGACATCATCAAACTCATTGACTTAAAATGCGTTTGAAGACTATCACTTCTTTAATTACGGAATAATTCGATAGATGTTGCCATAAAATTTAATTATAAAAGAAAGGATTTAATATAAAAGAGGCCCCCCATTTCTGTTTCAAACACAACGTTGCATTATTAGTAAAAAAAATATCTTCCTATATCTGCCTTAACGATTGATGTGAAAATAATAACAATATTGACAGAAAATCCTAAATCGTTGATAATTAATTGTATGACTTCCATTTGGACAATATTCATTAACCACATTAACGAATATTTTATTCGTTTAAAGTGCATGCGAGTCGTACACATTTTATGAACTTTTCTATTCGTAGTAAAACTCTCGGCGCAGTCCCTATATAAGTACCACATCCATCTGAGTAGTCATTTGTCCGTCGTGGTCCAGGAGCGAGACTCTTTCATATTTTACATAGAATGCGCTGCACTGTCAATGCATCCCCGCGCTCAGTCTCAATCACTCAGCCAGCTATATCGATCTTACATTTGCAAATTAAACAGACGATAATATCGATGCCATTGTGTAAGATCCTTAATAGCCATAGGACAGAAAACCTGTTGTAAGCATTAGACATTGTTAACGTTATCAGCTTACAATTTATCCAGAAATAAATTAAAAACATAAAATCATATGTGTGTTATGAGTAATGGATATAAAAAAGACATGAAGGGAATAAAAATAAAACTAAAATTAGTAATATATTATACTAGGGTCAGTTTCTGAGAACATTAGAAACCATTAATTGGACTAAACCAATAAAGACGACATCTCCGGACACGTGTAGATACTTTTTGGTAATAAAAAAAAAGAAAATGAGTCTTCGGCAACGTATTCTAAATATTTCTTGGGGCGGCCGAAAGGCTTCGATATTTAATTGTTGTTTTTTGTTCGAATTCCCGTTTTTTTGTGATTGAATCAACATGCTGCTGTCATTGTATGAGTTCAGGTTCTGATCACGTTTTTTTCTTAGCTCTCTCAATTGTTTGTGTGTTTTAAAAAACCGAGCCAGGTTTGTTTTTTTATACGGCGGTATGGTAATTCGAAGTTCTTAATCAATCTGATGAATTTCAAATCAGCGGTTACTTGTGTATAAAATTTTATAAAGTATAAACAGGGTTGTCTGTTGAAAATTAAATGAATAATACTTTTATGGTAATTTGCTGATTTACCTTACAGACTCTCTCATTTGGAATCAATAAATATTAAAAAATAAAGACCCCAGCCGTGTATGTACCTACCATATCTATTTGATTACGATAAACTCCATCAGTACCTGACGGACTTTCGGATTTCACGGTTTTCACGAATGGTTTGAGTAATTTATGAGAAATGTATTACACACACATAAAGTGGGTGTCATTTTCAGTTTTTTGTAAAAATATTCCTCTTCTAGAGGTCTAAGATTAACAAGTCATAACTAAAACTATTGACCGAAAATAAGGAGGTACTTTTAAACATACACTTATTTTTTTAGTAAAAGAGAAAAAATAACACGAACGCCAAAATCATATTTAATATAATAAGAGTGACTTTGTCTTAGAATTACCTTGATTTTAAACCAAGTCAAGGGTAAATTTGTTAATAAATTAAACTGAACTCAAAAGACTAAATATGATACGAAGATCATTACTTTGCCTTTTAATGGGTCAACCCACTTTGAAAGACAATTCTACATCGCAAATGGGCAATATAAGATTGGGAGGTAGTTAACATAATTCCTTCCAACATCAGGTATCAAACTTAATGCAGTGCAAAGCGTTGGGTTGTTAAAGCTTAATACAGTTACAGACACTGTATGTCCAAATTAATATTTAAATACATGAGTTAGCAAATGTTACAGTCATGTTTTTCAGCGGTAGTTACACGAAACCACCCCCTTCTATCAGTCTTATGTTTCTTAATATTGATTGATTGCATGTCCCTGACCGCAGTCTATACTGCAAATACTTTCTTTAATGTCATGAAAATCGGTAATCGAAGGGACTTACCGCTAGTCATTGGCCAAACATTTATCATATCGACGCGGCTGCACCTTTAACATGTGAGCTTATAAGGTTTCATTAAGTGGTAATGCGTTTATGGAATGCGATTAAACGATGGCTTTGATGTGTTATCAGTGTAATATTTTAACTTAGTAATAATACTTAAAAGGTCAAGCAGGGATATAATGCAAAATACGTCATCCATACTTTGTCGGTTATTTTCAAGTATTGCATAATGATAAGTAAAATAGTAATACCTAAATGCAAGGTGACCGTTAACATCCCAAACTTCAAACTGCAACTAAAAGATTCTTAACAAAAATGTAAACTGGTACCAAAGAAATCTAAATAAATTTTAGGTAGAAAGTACTCAAAATAATTAATAATTTAGTTAAAATATTCATTCGATTTCAACATTTTTGACAGTATCGCTTACACAATCATAGGCAAAGCAGGCAAAAAATGAAATAAGTCTAGTACTGGAAACGGTGTACTCGTTGTTTATTTATCCTCCTGCGTCAAAAACTTTCCGTTTTTCAATCGACCAGCTTTATGTGCAATTGGTTATAGGGAATTCTATGTAACTGTTTCATTAATTAAGTGTGAGTTAGTTATTACCTAATTAGGTAAAACACCTAAACACATTCTTAAAATATCGGTATTAAATTGTATATTAAATTAATTGTTTAAAAAAAAATCTTAAATATTCGCAGAGTTAATCTTTAGAACGATGAAATGAATATATTTCTAATAATATTTAGTTATCTGTCAAACATATTATTTTGATAAACAGTGTGCGTCATCTCGGCATCGATCGATAGATTAGTATCGATTTAGTTCATTTAGTTTTATGATCAATATCATCTCACGGTAAAGCACAAGTGCTTGCTGAAAGGAACATCAAAATTGACTATTACTTTATTTTTAATTTGAATTCAGACAGAATGAAAACATTATGATTTTGCGCGTGGCCACATCTGGGGCAATTTAGGAGAGTAATCGAATCGGCCGAACAGAACAAAAACATAAAGCTTTTTACGATCGCCCCTGTTGATTTATTTCTCATTCATAATTTGATGTTTCGGAACATCAGAGGATTTAATAACACCAGATAGACATCGCTTAAACCGATGTAAAACTGCTCGCGTCTTGTGTAACAATCGTAAAATACACATTAAGACGCATTAAGACACCGCCGTTATAGATTCAGACAGCTCAAGTCTTCCACCCCTTAATCTTTAGTTATTTTAAAACACCGCGCGATCCACCAAGTTTATTGGCCAAACTCATAACCGCTTTTATTGCTTCAAATCAGTTATTACGCTAATATTATTTTATTATGGCTATTTTGAAGCTGTTATTAGCCTAAATATATCGTTAGATGTTACTATCTTATCAGTATTATTTAGAAAAATTCTTCAGCTATAATCAATGTAGCCATCACTTAGTCAATATCAGTTGTATCTACAGATATCGCCCGAACGATAAGTGTACTATTTTGCCTGTATGGCATACATTTAGATCTCAAAACTCTTTTGTAAATTTCTGATCACTGAAAGTATTCCTTGGAATATAAGAGATATTTACCGAAACAAATCACATCAGCTTGTACAGCCAAGTGTCAACAAAGTAGGTACTACAGCTTGTAACGTAAACACTTAATTAGCATCATAAAGTACCAAGACCATACAATCTCCCAACACTTATCAAACGTCCATAATAATTTGAGACGCGTTGTTATAGCGAGGTGCAAAAGTGGCTGACCTGACATCACGCCTGTGACCCGTGCCGTAGCAGCATCCTTGTCGCTCGTAGCATGCTCTCCCTCTCCCACCTCACGCCCCCACTTTTCCTAATCATCTTCTTAAAGTCACATGTTTTAGTCACGTCTTCAAATTAATGAACTCTAAATCTTTTGTAGTAAATACGATTTTAGTTCGATGTGTATCATCGTGTGCTGAACGCCGCATAGTCTCGGTCCATCACCGTATTCTATTGTCATGTCGTCTTCTCTGCTTTTATAAACACTGTCTTTTATTTTCACCTAGGAGTTTAATCGGCGCGCGCTTGTGGAATTCTTGCTTTATTCTTATCGTGTTGTCGTTACAGAGGTAACAAGAGTACACAAAGGTATTTTGAAATGCTAGTCTGGTCAGCTGAGAGCTAAATCAATTCATCTGACACATGTGTTCTATTCCACCTTGATAACGGCATCATCATGGTTTAACAATTTTAACATTATCAATCAATTGATCACTGAAATCGATAATGACATATTTTTAAAGGCGGATTTGTTTAGAAATATGTTTATTTTTCGATTGATAAATTTTATTTACATAATTTTGAACCTATAGCTGGTTTAGAACTTATTACTGGACCATTGCTGCTTTTTTTTTAAACCAGTAACGAATGGTCCAGTAATCCACAAATTTACAGTTTACTTAGACTTCGAAAAACCTCCAGATGTTAAGTGCGATGTAGGTACGGTACAGCATTAATGGGTCCCTAATATTGGAGTCAGTTTAGTAATTATAGTTGGTGGCGCTGGGTGAGTTATAGTTTCTATTATTTTACAACAAGAATGGAAAACAAACATATGTTATGACGAATACGCATTCATACGAACCCTTGAAGGGAAGTAACAAATTTGTAATATTTTTTTTCCAACCTTTAAATAATCATGTTATCTAAACTTATATTAATTAACATCATCTTACCTAATAACGGTTACACGACGTATGTAGATTTGGTAAGTATGTTATAATAAGTGCATCATTATAATTCCGGTTTAAGTAAGCCCCAGTTTTTGCCAACATAGTCATTTGTCATACGACAATTATACTAACTGCAAATATAGTGTCTTTGTAATAAGACAAATTTAAATTGACTACTCAACAAAAACACTCTCTACAGATAATTTATAACAAGTCATCTAATTGTAAAAAGTAAATGTAAAACTGTTTTTTTTTTAAATTGAATTGAAATTGATTGTTTTTATAATTCTTAATATCTCCAGAAAAAATCGTGAGAGTTTAAACAAATCACAATCCTTAAAAAACTTTTTTACACTCTATTACTATTACCCTAGTACGTAGGGTCGATATACTTACCTATATGTACATACAAAGTAGTCCCACATGTCAGTCACCTTATATACTACACAGCAGAAGGTCACATTATCAAATATTCTAGGTAGATATTTCCTAAACACCAGATTCTATGAAGTTCAACTGTTATATATACAACTAGTTGTATATACAACTAGGCGATGAATTGGGAAATATTTCATTCAAATTTTAATGTGGTCAACCTTGGGTACGACCAAATCTATGATAAAAATAATTATAAACATCGGTTTACGGTTTACAGAAGTATCGAGTAACACAACACACAAAATTCATATTTAGTCGAACTGAGAATTTGCTCCTTTTTGCAGTCAGGTAGGTAATTATTATGACTACATTGTCTGCATTATTAATTAAGCATTACAAATGATATGCGATAATTACTTACGCGAAAACTGCATCGGGAATGCGAGTTCTTTTGCTTTGAAGTGTCATAACCCAAGTTGCTGATGTTTAATAGTCTAATAGGAATGCGGCCATAATTTGTAATGAGCAAGGATCGTGAGATATTTCTCTACGCTTCGCCCCTCTAATAGTTAAGACTCGTTACATGGTTCCCATACTTTCTTTGCTCGCAGTATCGCCTGTTTTTCTCGTCGCTTTTAAATTGGGTGTGATTTAAGTTACATCGCTACTATGTAATAGCAATGCGTAGTTAAGTACCACTGATATGCGCTCGCTAACAAGCTAAATGATACATCCTATCTTCTCGAATGTCAAATGTAATAAAGACGCAGTACACTATGTTATTATTCATAAGGGCGTATTCACATATGTCGCAGCATTGAAGTTGGAAAATAACGTGATTAAATCTCTACAGTTCAACTGTCAGTGTTTTGTATATAACTGAGTCTAGGCAAACTTTATATCCGTATTACTTTAATTGTATAAAATAATTCTTCAATTTCGGCACAACCATGTTTATTAAAACACAGGATATAATTATTCTTTTTTTTTCTAAATGAAGCTAATTAAAACATAATAACTTTATAGCACAAAAAAATCTTGTAAAGAGATAAGTCGCGCACTACATGACTAAGGAACACGAGGTACGTCTTAACTCAGAATAAGTCTTTATGGACCACTATTATTATATTATGCACTATACACAACTCCCGCAAAAAAAGATAACTCCCGCACTAGGAATATAAGCATTTTTCGAGGGGGACTTTCCACACATTTATGAAACGGACACAAAGAACACCCAGACTCAGCATAACAATTTGTGGATCACAAAAAGTGTTGTCCCATGTGGGGATCGAACACTCAGCGCATCATTAAGCGCCGAGGTGACCTCGTAAGCCACTGCGCCATCCGTGCAGTCAAAGTAATATTTCAGTGTCGAGCCTACAACAATATGACTTACAGTTGTTAAGCTTTAGGTAACTATTACGCCATCTATTCATATTGTATTAATGTTCACCAGCTTAATAATGGTTGGTATTAATTTAGATACAAAAAAAAATGTTTTATTAGTTAACCAAATTAAAAAGTAAAACAAAATTAGACCATACACATGACTCTATCTTACGACCATAATAATAATATATATAAATTAAACAATTATTAAAATAATAATATCACATATCTCACACAATTCAGTCTGATTCTAAACCTGCAGCAAACGAGCAGAGCCTGTACTTTGGTAATCTTCTTCTTTCTTTCTTTCTTTTTAAAAGACAAGGAATATATCCTGTGTCGCGGGGTACTTTACAAACATACATGAAACGAACACAAAGAACACCCAGACTCAGAACAACAATTTGTGGATCACACAAAGTGTCGTCCCATGTGGGGTTTGAACCCACAACACTCAGCGCAGTAGGAAGCGGCGTGGCGACCCCTTAAACCACTGCGCCATCCGTGCAGTCTGACTGATAAACATTCTTGTATATTCCTAAATACAACAATATTATAAATAAATTACACCCAGACACAGAACAAATGACTGTGCTCATCACACAAACTAAAATGACTACTTATATGATCTCAAACTTACTTTTACAAATAGCCATTAAAGTTTTTCTATCAACTTCTGGCTCCATCACCAAGTCAGCTTTAAGATGTCAAATTAAAGTATTATCATCCAAAATACCACCAAATCCGAATTAAAGAGTCTATCACTATCTAATACAATTTGCATACATTACACAATTAGATTGCTACTTTACGTAAATTTACGTAATTTTAAATTGTTCAAACAAGAATAGCGGTCTTAGTAGTCAGAGCTGCGATCTCGGTAATCGGGAGAAGTAGGTACAATTAACTCTCAATAAGAGCTATCTACGCCCCGACCGAGACCTCGGGACGATGAGTTAGCCTAAGACCTCGTAAACTTTTATATGAATAAAAAATAAACTGACACGTGGTTTAAACTTGTAGATTGTAAACTAATTTATTCGATTTGTTAAAATTTTACATTTAAAATAGTTTTTTAACAAGACAAGTTTCTTATAAAAATCTTATTTTATTTTTATTAAAATAATAATACTAAAACTAGACACGCTTTAATTGCGAGCTGAATTAATCTACTATCCTGTGACAACTACCTTAAAACATGGGAGAGACAGTTTGCAAATTAGTTTTTATCAAATTGGCTGGATTTAGCTATAACTTTCAAGATAAATACCCACCGAGCACCTCGTCAAAAGTAAAAAGATAATTAAACACCAATTTCGTCGAACTTTACAAGCCATCAAAGACAGAGCCTAACTCGTGTCTTTGGTCGCTCTCCATAACAATTTTAAACGTTGCTTGGCCGTATTTAAACAGGCACGAAGCAGAAATTAAGTGCAATTAGAGGAGCGAGACGGCGTGCGGGAATTTGTTGAAAAAGCGTCGGAATGCCCTCGCGACGCCAGTTACGTGTGGATCGGAACGCACTCCTGCGTACCTCTCGCACTCCTCCCGCACCGCAGTTTGTAGCCCCTGCATGCATTTGTAGTCTGTCGATAGCTTATTTTCACTTTTCTTTTACTCCCAAGTAAGACTCAATCACATCTGGTATGTGGAGGGAATTTCCAGTCTCAGGCCTCGATTATTGACGATATTTGTTTGTTTCTAAAACGGTTTATTTCCAGGCCAATGCATGCGATATTGAACACTAAATCAACCTCTATCATAAATCATTTTTCTGTTACAGGTAAGTTCGAGCAACTTGTCTTCTGCGGTATAGTTAGTAAGTTAACATACAAAATAGTATCTTGCATATCATGTATCTTGCATCTGGTCTTTCAGTATTATAACATTTTTACAAATATACGTGTACTATACGTTAAATTAAGGACCACTATTTTATGAATTTAAATGTTAATGAATAATTAAAATAAACCGTGTAGTGTCGGATTAAGAATACGGAATGTCACTACCCCAATTCATCCCATGGGTGTCGTAAGAGCCGACTAAGGGCGCAAAACAACGTAGGAAAACAGCACTGTAAAAAGAAGGAAAACTTGACACAAACCCTATACCAACCCGTCTGGTCAGCGTGGTATAGTAGGACAAAACCTCCTTTCTAAGGAGAGGGCTATGTCCAGCGGTGGACTAGTAAATTCTGTTGATGTGATGATGATGAAATGTTAATGATGTGAACAATTAATCCTACCAACATTTTTCATTATATTTTGTATTTTGGGCAATGTAACATACCTACATCCTTATGTGCGTAGGTTACATTGTAACATATTTTCTCCTGAAAGTTCCATAACGCCATAAATTTAAACTAGCATTTTAAGATATTTCAACTAGTAAGATTTGTCAGCATTTTTTACCATTTTTAAATAGGTATTTAAAATTGCATATAAATTACTTCGATATATTTCATCGCACCTAATGCTACAACTTTATTTCATGGACTTCTGATTACTATGTTAAAAATCTAACAACTACCTAAATAAAAAAAAAAGAAAAGTACCTAAATGCATATGTGTGCGTATGCCGAGCATCACGTGGATACATCAATCGACTTACACATGCGCAGACGCATCCCGCAACATTATTGCGGGGGCTCAATCAACGCGTCCATTAGGTGCCAAACATCGCGCACATTGTTCTGTTGTTCGCCGGCGTGTGAGTTAGTGCCATACTGCTATAACTGTTAATTATACAGCGCATATTCTGTGGTCGTCCGGCAGTACTTTGTCCGACATTATTTATGAATGTGTTTGTCCATTGTACATTTCGATCTGAACTGATATCTTCGAGTCTACCTTACAGTAGAAGCAATTACAGTAAAACATGATCCTATTGCTTAGTTAAATTTCTTATATTAATAAGATTTAAAGGATTGGAATATTTAGTGTTTATCGTAAGTAATATCTGTTTTTCACTACTAGCTTATGTGATAAAAGCATCTAAAAATAATAAATACGTTATTAGGCACTTAGTGGAAAAAAGAAAAGGTCCAGTACATTTAGATTTGTTTTAAAACGAGCATAATGAAAATATTAATATTATATTAATATCAGTATATGCCAATATATCTTTAAAGTGTCAAGCACAACTAGACCTACAACAAATCTAGAGTAACACATAATTTATAATTGCAATACGATCAGTTCCAAGACTAAAACATATCCTCTTAAAAGGTTTTCAATGGAAAAGCGCACTACAGACAGAATAAGAATTGTCATTATTTGGGATATAATTCCAAAAGCCATCGCGTCAGACGATGAAAAACCGCACAAGACTTTTACGACAGCCCGAATTGTTTATGGACGACTGTCAGTCATTGCCAATAACCATTCCAATCTTCGATTAGCATTTAAAATCTGCAATTAACTCTAACGCCTTGAAGCTTCCTTTAATTATCCTTTAAACATGTATCTGAGCTTAAAATAAATTAATTAAACGTAAACGCGCCTCTTGTAATTCGGAAATAGTTCGTAATGCATTAATTAGGTACATGGAATAAGTAGAGTTTACAGGGCAACATAAGGATATATTGCAGTATATTGCCTCGTGTAAATATAGGTACTTGGCCTATAAGTTCTTAAATAGATTACCGTGAAACGGTTGCATAAATAGGTGGTTACATTCAAAATCATCCGACTAGCAGAAGGCACAAACGAAATATCATTGCCGCCGATTTGTCCCTACATATCACGACGAATTCTTACCAATTAAGTAGACCTCTATAAGAGTGGACATAAAACAAACTGTCCGATCGGGCCCAACAATGGCCCGGACGAACGCTGCCGCATAAAAACTCTTACAACATAAAATATTAATAGAAATGCACGTGTGTTCATTGTCAATAAATTACCCGAGTGACAGAGCAATAAAAAAGTATATTTCTTGTGGAGTGAATGGGAGGCTGCGAGGAGGCTTCGATGTGAGGTAGCCAATAAAAGTGGCTGGCGTTCGGTCGTAAACTTCCATCGTAGACTGCGTGGCGAGACGCGTTGCAAGGCCGGTGCGCGCCCGTCGACACCCAGCGCCCAGCGCACCACACCGCGGCCGCGGCCAACGCGACGCCATGCTACACGCCGGTGCACCGCGCACCTCACGCTCGCCTAAGTAATCTCACACGCACTGACTTCACCGACCAGCTAACGCCTTATACAAAAACAAGGTTATAAGTCAAACGACACAATAAATCAATCGCCTCAATGTATCTAAAGTACCTATATAAGGCCACGTTTTCATCACGTACTGAAATTCAAATCGGAATCAACTAGAAGTAATATTTGTAATTCATTACATACAAGAGTCGACGCGGTGATTTGCAACTACGAACTAGAAACGTCCGCATAAAGCAGCCTAATGTGATCCCTACAGTAATACAATAAGACCTAATGAAAGTTGTATGAGTTCAAACGTTTCCAGAGATATATTCCAAACCAAGTGCAAACGAAGGTCAGGCGACTTAAATGAAATTAGATTATATAAATAATTGATAGAACACGACAGTGGATGGACGGTTTGACGTACGGCACGGAGATATGATCGGTGACCCGCTGATACAACCTCACCTTCTAATCTCCACGATTCCATCGCTTAATACCTCGTCTTGTTTCGTTAGCGAACAAAAAACATGTAATGCTTTTAATTAGATTAAATTGATTTATTTTGTACCGATCGGTTGGCGAGATAAATATAAATACTTGAAGGTAATTAAACTCGTCAAACAATGAACTTTGAAATTAATAGGTTATTTTAACCGACGTCAAATAGGAAGAGATTCAACAACGCATAATTGAATTGGTTGTACATACTCAGGGTTGGTCTCATTTGAATGTGAAGAAAATAAAAGTTTGGAAATTGGGGACGTAACAATACAGCTCACCTTTTTTATTTTTATTTCTTATGGAAAAGGAGGCAAACGAGCAGACTTGATGGAAAGCGATTACCGCCGCCCATGAACGCCTGCATCTCAGGAGTCACAAGTGCGTTGCCAGCCTTTGAGGAAGGAGTATGCTCTTTTCTTGAATTTTTTTTTTCGTTTTTTGTTTTTTTTTCTATTACAATTTATCATGATTTACGTGCATTCACGTAGGTGATACTCTTTTTTAAAGTAAATTATGTGATACCGATGCGATAATACGCCACGTCAAGTTATTAAGAACCTAGTTAATAATATCGAACATTGTGTAGTATCTATGGATCAACAAGCATTATTTTTTTTAATAATAAATATATAACAAATTTCGCAACTGAAGATAAGCATAATAAACACTTGCAGGCATAGTTTCTATGTTGTCACTTACTATTCTACTAATCTAAAATTTTAGGATTGCCTCCAAAAACGTTATGTTAATTTGAGAATTGACAAGTATTAAAATTTAAAATTTAATTATTCTATTCATTGTCTAAACAGTCTTGGACGAAGAAATAATAATAATACAAGTAAGTTCAGTACAATGAACACTTAATACTTCTTTTGTTAGATAAGACACCATAAGAAAAACTCATACATAAAAAATTGGACTCTACCCAACTGTAATTAACAATAATTTGTTAAGCAAACCGTAACTAGCTATTGGGAGCTTTGTAGACGCCGACAAAACGTTACATACAGTATCGGTATGATATCATAGTCGTTATGCTTTTAAATTTAGTACTTACTAATTTGTTTTATTAAAATATTTTATGGTATAGAACAATGGAACGAAGGGTAGTGGCTTAATTGTAATAACGATAGCTGGATTATCCAAAAATATTTGTTATATAGCCGTTTGTGGCTATGGTACCCCATTTAATGATATTCCAATCTTTGGTCGCGACTTGTTTTATTGCTGTTCGGTATTTTTATGGATGTATCAACTGAACGTTGTGCTGGTATTGGTAGTTTTTCAAAAAAAAGTAAATTTTAGATACATCTAACACGTTTTACATGTTACAAGTTGGTAAGTCTTTGAGGCCGTAGGTCGTGCAGTGAAAGAAAGTGTGGCTGACACTTCGAAAATAGCGAGTTCAAGTTTACTTATTGCAAAGAATTGTATACCTACGTTAATTTACTAACTAAACCAAGTGTAACCATCTGCATTCTAGAACACAAACTACAACAAGTTATGCTTGCTATTCATTAGGTCTAGACACAAACTAATTACTCATTGCTTTAACAATAAACTCATATACCACGTTTTTTGTCTGTTTGCCCCTCTTAAAATAGCAAGTACTATTATTAAACAGAGCTCAAAACACGTTCCATATACGGAAATAGGTTTACGTTATAACGTTAACCCATATTCGTATATGCAGCGTGTAATAGGGTGCTAGCTAACTTTCGGTCAAATGTATTTTACATTAAATTTCTTAAGACTACAATTTTTTTCTTGTAATAATTCTGACTTAGCAGAAGCTTCCTCCAATTGGACACTTTCATTTTCGTCTTCATCCACGTTTTTCAGCAGGTAACTTAAAAGACAAAAGGCTAATACACTATTCAGTAAAAAAAATATGTTTGTTTACTTAAATTGATAACAACCGAGTCGTCGCTTAAGGCGTCTATAGCACTTAGAATACTATCGGTGTCACCTTTTTCTTGGAAACTGTGTCTATTCTATTATGTATTGCCATCTAGGCTTATCGGACCACGTGGTTTTAAATAAAGTTATTTTTTAAGGAGCATTGTATCTTTACTTTAGTTTACCTTTACTTGACTACCATTATTGAAGTAGGTAACAAAAATTCGAACCATAATTTTTTTATTGACAAAAATTTCTCATGTATGTATCA